TTATAATATACTGTGCAATCACATACTAAGAGTTTTTACTCAGTTCAAGTTTAAAAATTAAAGTATAATATTTGCTTTCGCTGCTTGTTACTTCTTGAAGAAAGTGTTGTTTTTGGTTTATACATTTTTGCACTTTATTTTATTGTATTTCAATCCAATTATGTTTTAAAAATATTTTATTCGAGTAAATGATCGAAAATTACTGCACTATTATTTGTTTTTCTTTTAAGTAAATTTAGCCTACTTTTGCTAAAAGAGAAAATATGGACTAGTGATAGTGCCTTGAATAATATCGGCTTCTTTCATTCATGTTATGGGTATTTTTATACAAAGGAAATTTTTTTGTGCCTGTACAAAATTAAAGTTTACTGACATAGCCATAAAAAAATGTTGCTTTATTTATCTGACCGTATTGGAATGTATTTGTTAGGTTTTCAGTCAATTAAATTTGGTTCAATAAACAATATGTGGTTATTTTTAAAATTTTCAATGAACATTCGATCAGTCCGGCCCTCGGCTTGCAGCAAAAATTTTTATCTGGCCCTCCGTCCATTTGACTTTGACACCCCTGCTCTAAATACTTGGATTTTCTGTATTTAGTGATTGGTGCTTTATTGATGGATTCTCTACCAGTGTAGGATTCTCATGCCTTGAGAAGATATTAGAAACAGACATGCCATTTTCGAATTTTTTTTTGACAATGGGTCCATGAGTGAATCAGAATCCAGAACACAATAACTGTACATATGGCATAAGGAGTATTTTGGAAATTGCCCACCTCTACTCTTTCATGACGTCGTCCGAAAAGTGGTTGTATTCACACAATTAACTAAATAGTTCCTATTAGTTAGCAGTCTGGTGGTACTTTTCCATTAGTTTGGAATAGCACACCACTTCAAGCTCACTGTCATTCATTTGCCCGTCCTGCCGAGTCAATGCATCTTCGTCTTTACCATGCGGCGTCCGAAGCCGGTTGGCTGGTGCCATAAGCCGCCATCCCAAAGCGGGAGCCACAACCGTCGGACCGGGGAAGTGGCGACGCTCCGCGGCTGGAGACCTTTCATTCAAGTGAATGGGTCCCAGTGGAAGGAGCCACTTCTCCATAACTCCAGTGCACAAAAGACAGTGATTAACTTGTGCCTACTCTGAGAAAGTGGACGTCTGTTTCGTCTGAATGGTTTGTTTGGGGTTGCTTTGTGGCCCATAAAAGTGAGAACCCAGTCATGTTGCTTAGTGAGGAAGAATGAGCAGGAATGCTCAGAGGATGGGTGAATAGAGCAAAACAACTTTGGAGGTGGTTTTGGTGACGAATTAGCATTTTAATACGATTAAATGCTCAAAAAAGTTGATTTAGCTTGATATGGCCCCTTAAGGTGAGAAATTAATTTGCCAAGTGAATCCAGAAATTATAATGACCGTTGCCAGTGATGTGCACAATTTCATCATTCAACGGCTACTTTGAAGGAGCTTGTGTTTTGGCATTAATTTTTTAATAAACACAATGAAAGTAATTTCAACAAAATAATATGCTCATGACTGAATGCATCTTTAAGGCCGGTGCAAAGCGAGTGAGACGTGATCAGGTTGCCAAGCAACACGTGTTTGTGGCTCACACGCGATGAATGATTAACAATTTATTAAAAATCTATAACTCACAGCACCATTGTTATGATGACTGTAGTTGTTTAAGATCGCTGCTTCAAAACTCCAAAGCTCCCCATCAGCATGTAGAAATGATCCTCACAGGTTAAAAAAATAAATAAACAAAAAAAATCACACCAACCTTTTTTTCACCAATTAATAATGATATGTTGACATTCAGCTATTGGTGTATTGCAATAGGGACACATTGCAGCCGGTGGGTGAGTGCATAATAAGGGCAAGGGGCCTCCGCCGACCCAGCACCACCCATCCCCCTCTTCAATATATTTATGTGAAAGTTGCTAATTGGGTTCACACATGAGGCAGAAAATAGCAGCAGCAGGAGAAACCATTTTCTAGGACAGCATAAGCTTTTTCAAAACATTTTACTGCAATTTCATTTCCATATATTTTGCCGGGGTGGAAAATTGATAAATAATTTTGTGTGACAAGATTTGAGAACCTTGAAAAGGCAAGGGAAGATAAATGGACTGTGTATCTTCTGTTATGTCTTTGATGCAACCATTTTGTGGGGTCTCTGTGTAAAATGAGCTAATGATTGATCTGAAAATTGCTTTTTTTAAATCAGTTTCTTAATTAAATACAGCAACATTTTTACCAATTTGCAATCACAAATTTGTTGTGTAAATTTTCATAGGAAAAAAAGGCATACTTACAGTGGCATCTTCACTCTCCCCCTGTAACAACAACACATTTAAAAAATGATCGTGACATTATGTCTCTCGCTCGTTTGCAGTGTCGACTGCAACTACAGTACCTTGAAAAAGTATTTGCCTTTGCCCTCTTCTTATATTCTTATTTTTTTTCAGTTTCTGGGAGTGTGCATCTGTCCAATAAAGACGATTTGAAATAAATCCCGATACCAGGGAGTACCATACGAATCAAGGACAGTTTAATTTTAAAGTGGAACGATTTGATTCAGTTTGATTCAATGCACTCACATCTTTTAAATCAAAAACAATTTTCCGATTCAAATTGTTTTTTGTTACACCCCAAAAAGTTTCCCCACTTTATTGTATTAGATCACCAACCAAACATAAATATTACACAAAGATAACCCAAGTGAACATGAAATAAAGTTTACAAACGTTGATGTTATTTATTAAGGGGAAAATAATCTATTCAAAGCTACCAAGCCCTCTGAGTCCTGTACATCCCAAACCAAATAGCCGGTTGGTGGATGCTCAAGCGTTTTCTATAACTGGGAAAGAGTCTTTTGCATCTCTGAGATGATATTTAGACCGCTTTCTTGTGGATTTCCTAAAATTCAGCAACACTGCACAGTCTTCAAATATGAACAGCTTTTTTTAAGGTCGTGCTTATAAGGATAAAATGGATCGATGGACTTTGACGACTCTATAATTTTGTTAATGTTCAGCTATTTAGAAGTTCACTTGCTGGGTGTATTTTGGATCATTGTACTGCTGCAGAACTCAAGCATGCTTCAGCATAAGGTCACAAACTGATTGCCCCCTCAAGATTCCTCGTAAAAAAAGCAGAATCCATGGTTCCATTGACGAGAGCAAGTAGTCCAGGTAATGAATTAGCAAAGCAGCCCATAACATCCCATGACCACCACCATGTTTGAATGCTGATCCAGTACAATGTTCTTTTTCTGAAATGCTCTGTTATTTTTACACCAGATGCAACGTGACATACTCTTTTCGAAAAGTTACACTTTCGTCTCGTCAGTTAAAAGAATATTCTCACATAAGTCTTGGGAACCATTCTGATGTTTTCTTGCAAGAGTTAGACAAACCTTTACACAAGTGGACAAAGTACATTGTACTTCTTTATTAATGAGAGAAAAAACAACAGTAGTCACAGAAATAACTTGAATCTGACAAAAACATCACTTAAAAAAATAATTATATATTATATATATATATATATATATATACCCAATGGATATCAGACATTGCTTTTGAATTGTGGTTCAACAGAATAATTAAAAAAAAAACAAACTCATGAAACAGCCCTGGACAAAAATGATGTTACCCCTAGAAAGGATTGAAAATAGGGGTGTTCACATGGCACACATTTGCATCGGTGCTGCACCGATGTATTTTGTTGCGATATATCTTACACCGGTGTAAATTTTATGGAGCGGTCACACGTAAAAAGCTGCTTACTAAAGAGAAGCGCGTTAACCCCGGTGCAGCCCCACTTGCGTTCACCCGGCAGTTTCTGCAGCCATGCAATACGATATGAATACGATACGATATAAAACGGAAATACAACATGCGCATGCATAAAGTGCACTCCCTATTCTCCGCCTTGTTTGTGACATATCGAAAAACCATGGTTTATTCTTCTCCAGACCAATCAATGCTGTGGTCTATCAGACACCGTTAAAGGATGAGAGAGAGAAAGGAAAGAAGATGGAAGTACAACAGCGCACGAAAGCAACGCATTCAATACCGGTATGTAATAAACTCTTCTCACGCGTCGTACCGAGTCTACCCCCGTAGCGTTCACACATCCGATTTTATCTCGGTGCTGCCCCGCAAACGAGCGTTTACTCTGGAGTAAATTTTTAAACCACCTCCTTGAGCAGGGTTAAATTTGCTCTGGTTTAAGCTGTTTTTAGGGGCTACAACAGAGTAAAAGTTGCCGTGTGAACATCCCTCTTAATTGGAACCAGGGGTCCAACCAAGGTGTGTCCTCTAAACATTCAGCAGATAGCATTGGGTACACGAGTATCATCTGACCCAGGCTGAAACTAGCTCCTGGGCCAACGATTTTTCCTTTGGCCAACACGACTTCAACCCCAAGCAACAGTGGGAAAAATCTGGTGCATTCGAGGAGCGGTGCATGCAAGAGGTGAGGAGTTATTTGCATTGCACCATGTCATGATTCCGTTCTGTTTATTCTCCAGCAAGTGGCAGGGAGGGGGACCTTCCTTTCAGAACTGCATCCGTTACCCAATCACTCACTATGATCACGGACTACAGTACTTAAGGACTCTCACTCCGACCATTCAATGTCGGATAATTCGCCTTGCACAAGCCAATTATAAAGTGCTGTTTTCTGGACGTCAAATGTTATTGTGCCAAAGTTCTCTTGCCTCGTTTTGTACCTTCCATTGTAAGTACGGTAGTTTCCTTGGTTTTCGTTGTATAGATATTGTTGGATTGTATTTGTCACAAATTGATATTGTTTTCCTTTTATGACAAGCTATTTCCGTTTATTGTTTCCTGGCCGTTTGCAAGCACTTTATGTTCTTCTTGTTATCCTGGTTATTTTACCAGTGTCCTTATTTGTACTTTGTCGGCCTCACAGCTTTTTTCTGTCAAGCCCGTCATGTCATTTGTATTATTTTGCCGACATGGATAGCTGCCCGTTCTTAACTGAACATGATTTCATGATGATGATGTGGTGACGTTGGTGGCAACAACTTGTGACAGCAATATACACTGGGCCTAACTACAGTAGGGAAGACGAGTCCAGTCATCAAACCATGCCAGCACATGCCGCAGAGAACAACTTAAAAATAAAAGCAGACCAAGGCATTGAAGTCCATGTATTATTTTGTGACGTAAGATTTATTTAGAAGTGTGCCTTCCCACTGCATTGGAGTTGTGTTACCGTCATGCCTAGCATGAACAATTGCTGCAGAGGCTGGCTTGCCTTGTAGGATTGCACGACTGTCCGTGTTTTATGTTAAGTGTTGTGTTTATGATTATACTTTGTGTTAACTGTTTTGTTAAGCGCTTTATTACAGCTGCAGCTGTTGTGAAAGTGCTATATAAATCAGGATGTATTGTATTGTATTGCATTGTCTTCCCGAAGGTACACACATAATAACCAGAAAAAAATTCCCCAAGCAAGCAGGACTTGTTTTACCCCCTATCTCTGTCTAATATTTACATTTGTTTGGTGATCTTCAACATTAAAGTAGGAAAACGGCAAAAAAATAGGAACATGAGTCAAAGGGAAATACTTTTTTCATCGCACTACTGTATATGAAGAACAGGATAGTCATAACAAGGGTCAACATATCCAGTAACTCAAAAATGGACACACTTTTATATGAAACCACTGCTACACAGTGCAATACAGAAAGTGACAATCACACAACAAAAGCAATGAGACATGCGAGGTGTAACTCACAGAATAGAGGCTGATGTTCGTGTAGGTATCTTTGCTTATGGGTGATCGAGAGCTGCATTCCTCTTTCAGAACCACACGCCGGGAACATCGACTTCTCCTGTCCACTAGGAATGCTGTTAAAAAAAAAAAAAAAGACACTGGAAATTGCGGTAACACAAAAGTGTTTCATAACTCCGTCCTGAAACATTTTGTAGTACCCATAGGTTATACGCTGCGAACAAAAATCACTGTATTGCAACTTGCAAAATTGAGTCTGTTCTTGGCATAATATGTGCATGAACAGCGGGGTCAACTGTGCGGTACTCTCCCTGCCCCATGAACAGTCAGTCATGGCTGCTGCTCATCATCTAAGCAACTTGACTTGTGATGTAATGTTGAGTCTTTAGTCCCTGTTTTTAGTAGTTCTGGATACGGCAATAACGTTTATTTTAATCAGCGATTAATCTGTTGATTAATCGCTGATTAATCAACAGATTAATCGCCTGTCCCAGGACAGAAGCCTGTCCCAGTTGTCTTCTGCCCGAAGACAACTGGGACAGGCTCCAGCACACCCGCGACACGAGCCGTACACTGTAATGTCTGACCAGACCACTGTCACTGTTGCTCTGTAGCGACGCCACTCGAGTGAAGCGCGACTCAGCAGTCGATAGTCCGCTGCTCTCCCCTGTGCGTGCATCAGCGATTAATCTGTTGATTATTCTGTGAATTGATGAGTTACCCTATTACTTCACATTTGAAGTCTTTACACTGGATCCCAGTGAGCTATAGAATGCATTAAAGTTCTGCGACTGTTCTATAAAATCATTGACTAGTTTAGGTCCTTAATGTATTTAAGAAATGCCAATGAGATCAGAAAAGAGAGAGAGAGAGAGAGAGAGAGAGAGAGAGAGAGAGAGAGAGAGAGAGAGAGAGAGAGAGAGAGAGAGAGAGAGAGAGAGTTGTTTTGTGTATGACCTGCCTAACCTCCAATGACTGATTTCATTTTTTGGTTTGACTTTTTTTAGGTCTCCTGTAGGAGAAACTTGTCTCGGAGGACAGTCCCTCTGTGCTGCTACATACATTGAGCAAAAAACATACACATACACAACACAACATAATTAGGACAATTACATACAAGACAAGACAGTATGTACTCTACACACATTGGACACTACATTACAATGAGTTTTTATACCGGTTTAATTTGCAGAGAAGAGTCCTATACCTCTTTCCTGAGTTTAGGAGCTCAAATTGGGAGTGCAGCACATGAGAAGGATCGTTTAAAATGTTGTTTGCCTGTTGAATAACGGACTGCACATTTATGTCCTGGGGAGCAGTGGGAGGGGACTGCCTGATTGTCACTGCTGTGATACTTATGAAATATGAAAGTTATGTTGTTCGTCCACCTTGAAGATTGACGTGCAAGCAACAATGAAATTCTGGTATCAATTGCTTTAGATAGAATTTGATGAATTTGTATATTCTTAATTTACTGCCTTCGGAACACGTTCTCATCCTGTAAAAGGTATCGTCCCTTGGGGATAATGAAGTTCACCTTGACCTCTTTGTGCAGCTAATCTGACAGTGAACACGCAGAATAAACCCCTGAATTTTGTTGAAGAGTAAGGACTGATTTTGATTTTTTTTAAATCTCTTTTTATTCCTCATTTTTATTTCTTGACACTTATGTATTCAATTTTAGCCTGTAAGACTGAAATAATACACAAAAAATAAACATTACAAAAGTAAAATTATCATTGTGTCCTTCACACATTAAAAAACAAAAATCAGTTTTTCATATTAACACTTCAACAGCTTGATGAAATGAACAAATACGCACAGTCTAACATGACAAATAATAAATGTGACTAAAAAAAAATTAATATTCCAAAGGTGTAACGCTGAGGCCCTCTGCTGGGCAAATTAAACACTATATCAATAACAAAGCTTCCGCCTTGACTTAAAGTCAGCCAAAACAACACATCCATGACTGATTAAATGCATCACAACGACCACATTAGACAAGAAGATCTGTTTTGATTTTTCATGATTAAGTGGATTCCTGCATTGTTGTTGCTTGGATGGTTTGTTTCTACATTCTTCTTAGTGGAATTGTCCATCTCTAAAAATGTTGTGATGGGCTGGGTAATATGGCTGAAAAATGTATATAAGTATTTCATAGCAGTTGATATCAATAGTCATTGATTTTTTTTTTTTAGCTAATCAAAATAATTTGAATGTTAAATGGATAAGAACTAAGAGGAAAAATACCATGCAAAATTTTTATGGATGTAAAACGAGTTTTCAAGGAATGTACACTGTTGTCTTTTTTTGAAATATGCAATGCTGCTCACATCCAGGGCAGCACGGCGGGCGACTGGTTAGCACATCTGCCTCACAGTGCAGAGGTGTAGGGTTCGATTCCGGCCATTCTGTGTGGAGTTTGCATGTTGTGCCCATGTGCCTGGGTGGGTTTTCTCCGGGTACTCCGGGTTCCTCCCACATTCCAAAAACATGCATGGCAGGTTAATGGAACATTCTGAATTGTCCTGAGGTGTGATTGTGAGCGTGGATGGTTGTTCGTCTATGTGTGCCCTGCGATTGGCTGGCAACCAGTTCAGGGTGTCCCCCGCCTACTGCCCGAAGACAACTGGGACAGGCTCCAGCCCACCCGCGACACGAGCCGTACACTGTAATGTCTGACCAGCCCACTGTCCCTGTTGCTCTGTAGCGACGCCACTCGAGTGAAGCGCGACTCAGCAGTCGATAGTCCGCTGCTCTCCCCTGTGCGTGCATCAGCGCGGACGTGTACGCATGCACGTCTTTTGGCTTCAACCAATCAGTTCTGACGCAATGGACGTTACACATCAAAGACCTTAGATCTACAACAACAGCTAAGATAGCCCAGCCCCGGCAACAGCTAAGCTAGTGGAGTTGAGACAACGCGACGCTCGAGGTCGGACGGACACGCTCTTTCGTAATCTGTATGTTTTTCCTTCTTCTCTCTTTTCTATCCAAATATATATTTTTCTACACAATAGCAGTCTCGTCCACGACGTCTTTTTTCGTTCCACTGGGGTTTAGCCAATGTGTTTAAAGAGACCAAAATCTCTTTAGTGGCGAGCCAGCCCTTTTTTTTCCGAACCACGAACACTCTCCTTCAAATTTTTTCCCCTCACGTGGCTATCCCATTGGGATTTCTTCTCCCACTTCACTCCTCTCCAGCAACATCATGACGAAACAAGTTGCCGTAGTTTCCATCAAAAACCCCTTCCAGCGTGACTGGTCTGGCATCTGCTGGTATCACCGCACGTGGGGCGACTCGGCGAAAAAATGTCGCGAAACGTGCTTACAGGTGGGAAACGGACCCGCCAGGAAGTGAGCGCGGCACTCAACTCTCCTGGCATCTCTGCTGCGAGCCGCATCCTTCACGTCCTCGATCGGACTTCTGGGTGACGCTTCATGGTCGACTCCGCCGCCGCCGATGTCAGCGTCGTCCCTCGAACCCCAGCAGAGCGCCATCACCCGACCAGCGGCTCCTCCCTCCAATCAACCAACCTGCAACCTCTTCATCTCCCTACCGACCCTGTTGTGGCGTTCCCCGAACCTGACAAACTCTGCGTGGACGACTGAACCAGCGCCTCACGACGTCGTTCATCTCATCGAGACGACCGGTCCCGCCAAGTTGCAGCGTTCTCGACGACTGGCCCCCGCGAAGCTACAGATCGCTGTAGCTGTGTTTTGACCACATGCTTCAGCTCGGTATCATCCGTCCTTCGAGCAGCTAATGGGCCGTGAGGACACCGACTCCATCGACCGACCATCGACCGACTCACACCGGCAGTCGCAGAGCAGCAGTTTCTTTGCTCACGAACAGCGACGTTCACCAACAACACGAGTCCATCCTCACCCGCAATTCCCTCATCGACTGCAGCTTCCTTCGTTCTACCTCAACTGCTGCCCTTCCCGTGCCCACTTCGACCACGACATCATCCACAGCTGTTCACTCTTCGATGTCCCGTTCGCCCAGCACTCCACCACTGACATCGTATCTGGAGCCTTCATCAAGCCAAACCACGCGCAGCGGCCGACGGGTCTGCTTCACAACCTGTCGGCTATTCTGACCGTTCCGTCATTCCTACGGCTTCCTTCCTTCGTCGCCTACGCCAACTTCGGATCCAGGAGGGGGGCCCTGTAGCGACGCCACTCGAGTGAAGCGTAACTCAGCAGTCGATAGTCCGCTGCTCTCCGCTGTGCTTGCATCAGCGCGGACGTGTACACACGCACGTCTTTTGGCTTCAACCAATCAGTGCTGACGCAACGGACGTTACACATCAATGAGCTTTGATCTACAACAACAGCAAAGCTAGCCTAGCCACGACAACAGCTAAGGCCAAACAAAAAAGATAGTGTGTTTCCGGTAACATGAAATTTCAGCATAGGGTCGGTAGGTCGGACAGTTTTTTTTTCCTTTAATCTTTTTTTTTTTCCATCAAAAATTTAAACAAAATAACCCTAAAACAAAACAAGGAGACATTGAACCCCGGCGAGAGAGTTGGGTACCCGACGGCTGGGTGTTAGGTTCCGAGGTCGGCCGGGTCGCGATGGCACCGGTGGGGAGAGGTCCCCGACGCCGGCCGTGGCACGGCCTGGACTAGAGTTGCGTAGACTAGGCGGACGGTGCGTCGACGCGCGCAGACGCGCGGGTCGGCAGGGTGGCCGGTCGGAGAACGCCGACGGGCGCCTGACCAGGGTTGGGGAGACGGGCGGGACTGGGAGCGGCCGGCCGCGCCCACGCCCAACACCTTCCCCTACCCCCGCGGCAGCC